ACTTTGTCCATGTGATCCAGCAAGGCAGGACAAACAACAGTGAGAAGTTTGAAAGGTACTATAGCGCGTAATACATTTACCAAGGGGCTTCGGGGTTATGTTTAAATACTTACAGCGATTGTCTGCTCTGTCAGGTTCAGGGAATACTGCGAGAAGGCCTACAAGATCTTGTGTCGAAACGGGACGCTGTTTGTCAACCTTTTCGCCATGATGAAGGCAGCGGGGCTGCCTGAGCTCTCCTCCTCCAAAGATATCCAGTATTTAAAGGTACTAAACTCAGATCATTTTTGCATGAATCTGTATATGGTTAGTATTGTGATAACCTTCATCAAAAGCACTACATCGTATCTGGAGTGTTTGCTGCAAAAAAGAGTGATTTTATTAAAAAAAAAAGTTTTCTGACATTTATTCTAAAAGGACTGTAATGAATATCAATAACTGTACATACCATGATTATGTTAAACACATTATTTCTTTGTTGGACTTTCTATCATTTTCAGTGTGAGATTATTTTACTGCTATACCACTAAGCATTCCCTTTAGGATGTTGCAATATCTTTTGTGATTATTGCAGCTGACACAGATTTTATGGCACCTTTTTCAAAAAGTTGAGGTCACAGTTGCAATTTTTTTAAGGTTTATTTTTCCCATTACATGGTCTTACCAAAAAGTTTAAATTGCTACACATAGCGTTCCAAAAACAGACAAGATGGTTATTATTTAAAGGACCTTCTTAAAATAACACCCTTAAAACAATAAAGTCCTGTCCTGAGGTGCAAAAGAGTAATTCTTTATTGGTTGTTCAAGTTAACAAAAATGTTTACACATTATAAACAAAAAAATAAAAAATAAAAAAATAAGGCAGATGTTACCAGCTAGCATCACATGGTTACATCTTGCAGGTTCGACGATCGAGACGTGAAACAAGAAAATAAATTAGAATAGGTCAAAGGAGATTGGTCAAAAGTTGTAGTGATTGGTCAGAAAAGAAGGAAGTACAGAAAACATTAAGGTGATTGGTCAGATTTGCCTGAAAAACTGTGATGGATGGTAAAAATCGCAGGTTTGCGCAGAATTGCGACTGATGAGAGTATTTACTTCAATGGATGCGATCGCGAGAAAGTTTTCCTTCTTTGCACACATAGCTGACTGACAGCTCACAGGCTCTCACATTTGGAGCGGTAGGAGTTGTGCTGCCTGGCATGTTATCAAAAGAGCTTCATGAGGGCCTGCGCCCCAGATACACAGGTTATTTGTCCTGACGGCAGCCCTCTAGGATTCGACTCCTAATGTCGGGACCCTTCCTGCAAGTCTTCTGCCTCTCCTGTCTTCAACACTTTGAATACTGCCACTTCCACCACAAAAACAAACTGAGATGTAAAATTTTAACATCTTTGAAAAAAGGGTGATTTTTCTTTTTTTTAAAATAGTGGTATCCTGGAAAAAGGAAAAATCAGACTTGTGTGCCTTTTAGTTACAGTGGCTTCGTGACAATGAGAATCATTTTTCCATTTGTGTCTCGTTTTCAACAGGATTCTCTAGCTCTGGGCAAATCGGAGGACGAAGCGCTGAAGAATTTCAAAGTGAAGTTCAACGAAGCTTTGCGGGAGAGCTGGAAGACGAAAGTCAACTGGATGATGCACTCCTTGGCCAAAGACAACAGGCCGTGAAAGAGCACCACCGGTGAAACCTGCCAAAAATGATAACTTTTAACTTATAGACAGAAAGAAAAAGAAAAAACAAATGAGAGATCTAAATGTACTTTGACACATGGCATTCAAACACAGACAGCAACAAATGTTTACATGCCAGCGGCTGAGAAACGACTAAACAGAAGCATCCAGCAGTCATTTCAACACAGGCCTTTTCAAAGTCAAGGACATCTGCTCCCGTTATCTTTCTTCCATCTACAGAATGAACCGTCTTACCCAACCAAAACCATAAATGTATATTGGATTTAGTGGAAATTGGTACTTGAAAACCATCTGCTCCTGCAAAGTGCATCACCGAAACAGGAAGTTCATCTCGGCAACTGCATTACTCAGCAGAGAGCGAGCTGCAGACAGCCTGTGGGATGACTTTAGACGGCAACGCACCGGATGGCAACAGCTCCGTCACATATAGTCTTGAACTGCCTCTCTCCGACAGTGTTGTGTATTTTTATACTGTGCTTTATTTAATTAAATTGGTGTAGAGAACTTGTAAATTCATGATGTTTATTTTAAATTAATTTACTGTCGTCGTGTCATTGGCCTTGAAGCTTTACTGAGTGCCAGTATACGTTAAAGCCTTGTGCACATTTAATGCGAGGCACAAAGTTTCTCATTTCTGTTTTCATGAACGCACCAGAGGACCAGGCTTTGTCCAGAATCTAGCTATAGAGTCATTTTTGCATTAAAGCTTTTAATGCCATTGTTAATGTTTTGTTGTTTTTTTTTTTAAATAAAAAAAAAGAAAAGATCTTAAGTTTGAGTACGATGCAGGAGGAAGCAACATGTTGCTTTGCACAAATACGGGAAACAGGCTAACCTCGCATCTGCCTACATACAACTCTAAATTTCACAATCTGTCTGGTATTAAGCATAAGAGTTGCTTGTAGAGAGAAACACAGTCAGACTCATTTGTTTACCTCATTTTTTTTTTCTTCTGCAAAACAAAGCAACTGTCTGGAGTGTTGATGCTAACGAACCAACCTGAAAGTGTGCCTTGTGTAAAACTGATGGATTTTCTTTGAAATGCCTTAACTTTTAAAGACGCATGCCACTGGCAGGTGGGAGGAAGAAAACTTGAGATGCTCTAAAGCAAAGATATCTTGTGAAGAAAGAGAAAAATGCTGAGGGTTGCTTCTTGAGACAATCGGTTGGAACAAACAAACAAAAAAAAAGCCATTTACTTATGGATGTGCTTCTCATACTGTGATTTTGGTCACACTGTTGATGTCAGAGGTCAGTGTGGACAATGCATACTCTCTAAGAGTGTTCACTGTGTTTGTGAGTTTGTGTGTGTTGTGATATTTAAGTTTTGCACTTCCATTGACATTCTTGTCAAGTGTGCCAGGTAACATGAAAATATTTAATGCTTTTAAGGTCAATCACTGTCATAATTTAACTGCAGTACAAAGTGCTTTTTGTCAGCTTAAGTGGAGCTGTGTACTGTTTGATTTTATTTCCAGATGGTTTTTTTTATTATTTTACGTGCTGCATACTCCACTATGTCCTGAAAGGACTGCTTGCTTTTTTAAGAATATATATGGTTAAACAGTCTCTTCTTATTATATGAGTCTCTGTGCAATGACGACGAGAAGAAGAGCAAGTGTAGCTGTAGCTCTAACAGCACCGAGTTGACGATACTTATCATTTCTGTCCTTTAAAAGGGGCCTCACTAAATACTGCTTCTTTAAGCAACACTGGGGGAAATCAGTCGCTCCTTTGGCCAATTAAGTATGATGCTGTTGCCTTTTATGCTGGTTGTCATTTTTAAATTGTTAGAAGCTCCTTTAAGGTCCATGCCAGATGTGCAGCTATAGCAAATAAATTATCGTCAAAACATAAGTTTGATGTCACCTTTTTTTTGCACTCCTTTTTTAAACATTTGCCACACTTGCTGTTTATGAGTGAAATTTAATTCTGAATAAATAAAAAAAAGTCTGCAACCACTGAGGCTTTCAGGAGGAATTTATTTGCAGCCTGGATGTTTCTTCGCTGAGTCAGTATTTATTTTAAAGTCCTTCGTCTCCGTTTTTTTCTTTTTTAGAAATATTTTGTATTTTCAAGCAATGCCCTGTTCAAATCTGTTGAGAGCTCACATTTCAAAGAGATGATTTTGAACTTGCAATGAAATGTGAAAGGACCCAACTTGAGTTCTTATCCGTATCTGGACACCACTACTTCTCCCTCTGTCTTGGTCAGCTTTTTTAACCCCTAGTTCAGAGAGTCTTGACAACTTCTGGTCACTTCACTTTGAAAAATGTTCCCTGATTTCAAAACTGTGCATAAAAAGTTAAATATATTAATCATATTTGTCTGCCTGTTGTCTGATGAGATGTATCATACATTCTCTGTTTAGCTTGTTGGAATATTTTTTAAACTAGATGAAAATTAAATGCAATTGAATATGTCGATATCATTCTAAAAATAGACAGGTGGATATAGATTATATTAGACTTTTTTGATAACAAATGATAATGGAAAAAGTCTAGCACAATCGTTGCCCAACATACTATTTTAATGAAGCTTTTCTGCTTTCGTTTTTAGTCCATAATTTGACTAAGCCATGTAACTTCTCCCATTTTTAGCTTTTGTTTAACAGCTTCGAGCTCCATTTTGTTGTTGCTTGTTGACAGCAAGAGTCAAGTGCAAATCATCTGGGATGGGTGAATGATAAGAGCGGAGCAGGTTAGCTGTGTGTGTGTTTACTGTGCAGTCTTTGTGCTCTTGTGATGGTTTATGAACATCTGCATCTTATTTTCCTTCCTTCCTAAGCAGGGTAAATTGTCTACTCCTCTATTTAGACTGCAATACGTAGATTAACAGAACATTTTATTATGCATTCTCACTTAGTTGTCTCTGGGCTGCATCTGTTGTAGGGCTATTAAACATCCCACAACACAACCTGTTCATTAAGCTAATAATTTTGGAGCTCTCTAATTTTTTTAATCTTTTTTCTCCTTTATTAAGCTAGTACTAACTTTGTATTTTAAAAAACAAACAAATAAACAAACAAATTATGTCTTGAGTTAGACAAAAATATAGTTTTGTGCAAATTCTATTATTTTAAAAACTCAAACAAAAATAATAATAGAAATAAATTACATAATTATAAAATAACCACATTTCCACTTGAGTAAATATAGCTAGTTACTGCCCACCTCTGTTTAAATAAAAGAAACGAAGGAATAAAAATCATAAACAAATGACTGTAATAATCGGGGAAAGTTTAATTCAACCTTAGGTGCACTTAAGAATATCCTCAGCTTGGTCGTTAGCGCCCCCTGCGGCACGCAGCGGTACTGTAGCTCCAGCCGCGGTCTCTGCTGGTTGATTCAGTCCGCCGTAGCTCTGCCGACTGGAGGGATGTGACCCCGGAAAAGGACGCCCTGCTAATACAACAACACCCCATTCAAACAGATCACACAAGAAAGTAAAGCTGGACCAGGAGGGGTGAGCTGTCGTTTACTTGACGGGTATTAGTTTGTCAAGGGGGTTATTTTTTCTAGTTTGAACCGCGGTGCTCGGACGTGTAGCGGCGGCACCTGGATGCTGTTTCCCTCCGCTGGAACTTCATTCAGGCTTTTGTCTGGGGCATGCTAGGCGAGCTAGCTTGGTTGGTTAGCTCTGCGGCTCGGCTTTGGTTCCCTCCAATTAAAATGTCAGTTTATACTAAAACATAGAGGACTTATAACTGGCTAGGGCTCATGCTTATATGCGTAACAATAATGGCTCTAGCTCTGAAACGGTTCGGGGATATCGGTAAACGGTTTGCTGCTTGCTAATGGAGCTACAGTTTAACTGTCTACGTCCCGCAACATGATTTCTAAGCAGCACTAAAATGCTTTAAAAAAGCAATTTAGACTTCTTGAAGCTGTGACTTTTCAATTTCTGTCCACAAACATTAATAGAAAGTACATTTTCTCTAAATTATATTAATTTCAATTGACAGTAACTGCAGTATATATTATGAATTCCTACATGTTACAACAGATATCCACAAGGCAACCTTGATGTTGTAAGTACACCTCAATATTTAATGTTTTTTTTACCCTTAAGTTAGTGCCACAAATACCCCCTTTTAAGAGGTTTTCTATTTTTGAATGCAGCCACAGATCCATTGTGCTGCCCTGCCTTTTAGAGTGTCTGCTGCACCCCCCACTCCCCGGTATCTGACAGCCCTTTTAGTGGCAAAGCTGGCTCCCTGTTGGCAGCAGGACATTGATGAGTGCTGCAGCCAGCAGGTGTCGGGCCTTGGTCATGGGCAAACACACAGAATCCCCCTGGCAACTGGCACACTTGGTCGTGTACCACAGCATGTTAAGCCTCTCTTAGTTTGCACATTCTCTTAGCTGTTTAGATTTTTGCGGAAAGATTAGGACCACTTGCCTCCTTATACCCCATGAGGGGTCATCATCAGCTGCCTGCATGCGGCCGATACTGGAAGGGGAACGGCCGGTTAATCTCCGCGATCACTTGCTCCTTTTTTGGTCCTAGTCTTGCTACCCACGTCCAGCATGTCATCATCTCACACTTGACGTTTTCACAAAATCACTTAACAAATCTTTTGAATAATTTTAATCAATCACCCTCATATTTTTTATATATTTTTCTCCCCCTTTTCTCATTTCCAGATATCCTTGTTTCCTTGTCTCTTATCCACAGGCACTTACATTAAATTGTTCCCGGAACATAGAACATATATATATATAGCTGTTTGTAATCAGTATTTTCTGCCTTGCTTTGATGCTGGCGCTTTTGAAAATCGTGCTGCTGCACCCCCCAAGGGACCAGCTTAAGGCAGCAGCTTCTGTTTCAGGTCCTTTGAGGGACCCTGAGGAGTGAGAATAGATGCTCTGTGATCATAGACCAGATGAGATGTTCTTTTTTTTTCCACAGGGTTTCAATGGAGTTTGGAAATGTATGGAAATAGTCTAGAATTTTAATTAAGCATCAGCTAGTTTCTGGGTTTGAGAAGTACGGAAATGGTATCTTCATCTTAGGCATCTGTCAACTTATCTATTCAAGTTTGTTGAGTTCTGCCAAATTATTTGAATTCACGCATTGCATGACGACGACAAAACATGACCCACTTATCACTGATGTTTTCACAATCTAGTTCATCACCATTGTCCCAAATACTGTCACTATTGTTGTAAGGCCCCTGCCTGAGCAGAGATGCCTGCGATACAACCAGCAGGTCCTTGTCGGACCTTTTCTAGCCTCTGGTGTCTGCTTGGCACGCTCGCGGTGTCGGAGGACCAAAACTGGTTTGACCTCATAAACGTGTGTCGAGTGCCAGGTTAATGACGTACTATCTGGGCATAACTTGTGTTGTCTTGACTTGATGTGAATGTTCAGATGAGAATTCAATCGAAAAATGAATGAGTGCTTCGGTCTAGAGCAGTGGTTCTTAACCTGGGTTCGATCGAACCCCAGGGGTTCGATGAGTCGGTCTCAGGGGTTCGGCGGAGCCTCTACCGCGGAGGTAAAGACACTTGTGTAAAGTCGTGATGACGCCCCGCTTTGCCATCACTCGCTGCAGAGGATCACGTTACATTGCTGAGCTAATCAGAGCTGCGGAGGAGCACTGATTGAAGGAGCTCCACTCTCTGCATGGATTTGAACTTGTGTCTTTAATTACTTCAGCAAAGCTCACTGTTTTTACCAAATTCTGTAGCTTTCGGTGTACTTCTAAATCTGCTCCTTAGTCGCATCTTTTCGGGGTTGGTACTGCCTCTTGTGGCGTAGGGATGGTAACACAACTAATATAATACATTACTAAATCAGAATACCGCAAAGTCTTTATTTATGATTAATTTTTCATTCTCTTAAGAATGTAGAGCTAATTAAATGATCTAAACAAGACCTTAAAGTGGTTCCAGTTTCTCTCGATGGCCAACCTGTTGAAACTGTGGCAAATTTGGGTCGTTCCTGGACAGTCAGCTCAACTTTGCTGAAAACACTGAAAAGTTTGAAGAACTTTTCTCAGAGACTCTACCTTTTAAGAAGACTTAGTGATCTTGTCTATGTCTTGAATTTGGGGAAAAAAGACATTTTATTTATCACTACAGAAGGGTTCAGTGAATGCGCATATGAAACTGGTGGGCTTGGTACCTCAAAAAAGATTAAGAACCACTGATCTAGAGTAAGGCTGGGCATTTATTGTATCATTTATTATTTATTATAATGGTATTTTTGGAAAATGTTCTTATCATAATGATAATTTTGATTCATCATTATCTTTATAAATTCCAATTAATGATGTTAAAGTTAAACAAAACCTGGCAACATTATGGGTAATGTTATTTTTTATTTTTTTCCCCCCACTATTTATCTACTGGAGCATCAATAAAGATCACTAAAATATGATTAAATGCTGTTACTGTGTGCAGTTTAGTGATATAGATAAATCACACTTTTTCTAACTGACATCCTGAAAAAGACAAATTTAAATAGACGTGTTTTTCAAGGGCAGTATTTGTTTTTGTTGCACTATGAATGCTGTGCCATAGAATTACTTAATTTATCACCATCGTAATTGATTTCACATTATTGCTACAAAATATTGTGATAAAATTCTCATTCCATATCACCCACACTTGGTCTAGAGATTATTATAAAAGTTCTTTGGAAGAGGGATAAGCAATTCATTGCTCTGAAGTAATTGATGTGAGAAATCCAAATGTTTCATCCCTTAAATTTTATGTTGTGTTGTTGGCAAATACAAATATGTGCTTTAGGGAAATGTTATTGTCATGTATTTAGCCTTAGATAGTTCATATTTTACATTAGCAGTAACATCTTAAATATGTATTATTCAATGAAGAAAGAGTCTTCTAATATATTTACATATTTATTAGAGTTAATGAAGACACCGACTGCGCCAGTTTTCCCCCCCCCCCTCTAATTTCTGCGTTCGTTCATGAACAGCTGATTGCATAAACACTGCCTGTATTTAGAGATGAAGATTCGTGTCAGAGATTTTGTGGCACGTGTTGTCCAGAGGCCCCTAAAAGCAATTAAGTCTTTCTCCACCCGTAACGAAAAAAGCAGCTCCAAAGCATAGAGTTTCAATCTCCATGCCTGACTGTGGGGATTATGATCGGGTCGGGTGAGTGCAGAAGAGCTCAAATGCGTCCCCTTCTGTCCACAACACATTCTCCCAAAATGAATCATTCAGATCTTCACTGGTGCATTTAAGACGGACCTGAACAGGGAGGCATCTTTAATTCATTTGAAGATTTCAAATCCATCGTGGTGTGTTTCACCGTTCCTGTAACCTGGAGTAGTATGACATTTGATAAAAATAATTTTTCCAGGTCTGGCTCAGTTAGGGAAAAGAAAATGGCGTGAAAAATAACATCTGCAATACATCTCTCTACGTCTAGTTTAGTTCTCTGTCTGTCACTGTCTATCTCTCTATCATTTATCTGTCCATATCCGTCTGCTTTCTCTTTCTTTTTTTTCCAAATATTGCTCCAGAAATGATTAAGAATCGATTCTGTAGGCAGGTGTGCTTTGTACAAAAAGAGACGAGTTTGGGAGAAATACTGACTGATTAGTTGATTGTGATCTGTGGCAGCCAGAATTTTAAGCTATTCTTTTGATTCAAATAATGCTTTAAGTTCATTAAAAATAATAAAAACAAAAAAGGTGTCAATAATAACAACTTGGCTTAAGCTAGATTTAATAGACCAGGCTTATGACACAAATCAGTATCGGTGATGTTTGCTGTTAAAAATGTATTGTAGGGACAGATTTTACTTGTTAAAATGTTTTAATAATAAAACCATTGACTGAAAAGTGAGCAAGATATGACGAGATGTTGGTTGTGTGTGCGTGTGTTTGTGTGTGTGTGTGTGTACCTGCAGTGGCACAGCTGCTCTGCAGAACCAGGGCAGGCTGATCAGCTGGCAGCCACACCAGCCTCATGGCCTACTAATGTTTCTCACACATTTGCTCAGGACGTTGGAGCAGCTCATGATTGAATTCAGGTTATTTTTCGCTCTCAGTTTTTCCTATCTGTTCAAGCCATCAAACTGTTCGAGTCGTATTGCAGGACTCGTGCTTGCTGTAGGAATGTGATTTGTAAACCGGATGTTTCGTGTCGTACGAGCATCATGCAACGAACCGGGGTGGGTGCGCCTGTTTCTGTGCTCTCCGACGGACTCTGGCCTTCTTGACCTTCTGTAGATGTGTGAGCATATCACGTTGCATAATGTGTACACTTGTTGCACTTTGTGGCATGTCTGGAATCTGAAATGTTTTTGAGAATTGATCTTTGTTTGTCACTTTTTAGAAATGACAATTGATACTTTTGGTAATGGATGGACCATTTGATTGTTTGACCGTAACTGGACGATATTCAAATAAGGAGAATCAAAAATCATGTGCTGTTGTTAAAGCAGCCAGTAATTGTTGGAAACAGCACATCTTTACTGTGAAAAGTT